CAATGCCAGCCTCCTTCCTCTATTATATGTTTCCTGCCACAATGTGCTACCTCACTGAGAGCCCAAAAGTAGAGAGGCCAAGCAACCACAGACTGAAACCTCTGAAACTATGAGGCAAAATAAACCTTTCTTCCTTATGAGTTAATTATCTGAGGAGTTCTGCCAGTGATGAAAAGTTGACTGATACATGTGCTTACTGGCTTATCTTTAATTATGGACCCCATTGTGCCTTACAACACTGAACACATTTAAAACTAAATCATCACAATGGTTTCTCATCGCCCTGCTCCTGAACACACCACAGTGAACTCTCCCTTTGTTGCTCACCTAGCACTCATCTCTCTAGTTTCCAGTCAGTCACATATTCCCACCACTCTAATCAACCTACAAGTGTACACAAAAAACAGTAATTTTTAAATCTCCCACTCAAACATTTTTTAAAAAACAATATTCAAGCAAATTCCCCAGCTTTCTTCTGTGCTTTTCTATTCTTAAGGTACTTATGAACACAGCAAAGGAACCTCTTGAATTTGAAGACAAACTGCTCATTGAATTAACCCATATTTTTTAGCAAAGACCAAGCTAGTACCTAGAAACAAGAACAAACAAGATACGGTTCCTGCTCTCGAGAAAGTTCCTTTCGTCAAATTCTTTGAAATTCCCCCCTGCAAAAAAAAAAAAACTCCAAATAATTTGTACCCAAATTTGGACTTTCTTGTTTCAATCGTAAATATGCTAAATAAATACCAAAAGAGATGTCGCTCAGCATGTGTGAGTCTATACGAACAGTATCTATTCTTCTTTCCTTCACATTTCTACCAGATTTTAAGTACCTTGAGAGTAGTATCTCATTCTTTATATAGCCAGTTCCTGGCTTAGTATCTGGCCAAGAGTTGACAGTTAATAAAATATTTGTGAACTTAACATTGCTCCCCACTGCTTATATCTATAATATCACAAATTACTTGTGATATATTTTTATTACAAATATAAGGTGAGTAGAATACCAATAGAACTCCAAGCCTAAACAAAGAGACATCACTATCAAGCTGACAAAGTTTATTTGAGGGATATTTTTGTTGACATAAAATTGAGTATAGAATTCTGGATTTACAGTTCTGAAACAAGAAGACAAAACTGAAGCAGAGGCACCACAGTGACCTCAGTAAGTTCTCACAGACTACAGGAGTCATCAAAGCTTCCATCTAATTAAGATAGAAGTTATTCATTTTTTTTTTTTGGTCAATATAATTTGGAAGCTTTATCCTAAGTCAGAAAATGTGTCTCTCAACTACATAAAACAAAGTGTGAGCATGCCTCACAAGTGTAAGGACCTGAGTTCAAAACCAAAAAATATTGTTTTTTTCCTCTTAACTTCCAAAATACACAGAAGTTTGCTTAAAGGAAAAGGTAAACTATTGTGCTGATGTATTTATAACATATGTAGATATAACAGTAGGATGCAAGCATAAAAGATTGCACATTTTTTATATTTTACATAAGACAGCACAATACTGTGTTATCTTTAAATATAACAGCAAAAGAATATACATTGTGGGCTGGGGATTTAGCTCAGTAGTTCCACTGCCTGCTTCATAAGCACAAGGTCCCAAGTTTGATCCCTAGTACCAAAAAGAATATCTATTGTGACACAAAACAGCCTCTAGGGAATGAAATACTGCAAAATGGAAAATTTCAAATATCAAAATAAAAATTAAAATGACGCACTTAAAAAGATTCAACCAAGCAAATACTGAAGAGAGAGAACAACAACAAAAATGAGCAAACTAACACAGTAGATATAAATCCAATCATACCAACAATTCCTTTAAATGCCAGTCAACTAAACACTCAGGTTAATAGGTAGAGATTATTAGAACACATCAAAATTCATGATTTAGATGTACACTGTCTAAAAGAGAGACAAATTTTAAATGTAATGTCACAGTGAAATTAAAAGATAGAGCATGTAAAGTACAAGCATAAAAAAACTGAATTGTCATATTGATTTCAAATAAAGTATACAACAAGACAAAAAGCATTATCAATGATAAGGGACATTTCACACTAAACACAAGGACATCAGGAAGACATGACATTCATAAATGTTATAACAACTTCAAAATCCATGAAATAAAAATTGATCAAATTGAAGGGAGAAAAAAATCTACGTTAGCTAGAGATTTTTACCACTCTCTGCGAAACTGTAGAATCACTAAACACACAGCAGTTCACAGTGCTCACTTATGTAGCACATATACGAAAAAGCAATTCACACAACATCCTAATAATACTATCAACCATGCTGACCTGACATTTATACAACACTATTTCCATCTGTAAAACAGCCATTCTTTTAAAGTATATGTGCCACATTCACTATGACACACTATAAACAAGTGGTTAATTTCAAAGAATTAAATCTTACACAGAGGCTATAGCCATACCACCCTGAACACACTGGATCTCATCTAACATCTTGCATATAGATTCTGTAGCCCATAATGCAATCCAGTTAAAGACCAGTAACTTTCTAATTTCTATTTAGAAACAAAACAATGTTCTTCTTTGTAATTCACAGGTCAGGGAAGAAATCATTAAGCCTTATCTATTTTTTCTCTAAAAGTTTTTCTCTTTCCGACTGATAAAGAATGAAAAGGAAGAATGGATGAGTTATGAAAAGTACTTAAGAAAATGAACTGCCAGAAACAACCTAAGGTGGAAGTAACACAATTCTGTAAGACCCTAAAACTAAATGGCATCTTCACCCAACAAAATAAGTGGCTAATACAGCATCACTGGTCATTCGAGAGATGCAGATGAAAACAACACTGAGATTCCACCTCACCCCACAAAGAATGGCTGCTATCAAGAAATCACACAATAACAAATGTTGGCGGGGTTGTGGGGAGAAAGGAACCCTCCTCCATTGTTGGTGGGAGTGCAGACTAGTGCAACCACTATGGAAATCAATATGGAGATACCTCAAAGAGCTTGGACTGGAGGTTCCATTTGACCCAGCCATCCCTCTGTTGGGTATCTTTCCAAGAGAACTAAAAGAATCATATCACAGAGAAGTATGTGCACCCATGTTTATAGCGGCACAGTTTGTAATAGCTAAATCTTGGAAACAACCTATTTGCCCATCCGTTGGAAACTGGATAAAGAAGTTGTGGTTTTTCTATAAAATGGAATATTACTCAGCCATAAAGAGCGAGAGAATAGATTCATTCATAGGAAAATGGATACATATTGAAGATATACTCCTAAGTGAAATAAATAAGTCCCACATGTGTAAATACCAAATAGTTTCCCTGGTGTGAATATTCTGCAACAATGCATAAGATTCTAATAAGATTACTGACATTTAGAAATGGGAAGAAAGGAGCTAAAGGTGTAGGGAAGGTGTGATGCATAGGGGAAGAACAAAAAGGGAAAAGAAAAAAATGTGAGAGAATGAAAAGAGGAAAATAAAGTGTTTGTAGATGGGGAGGGGAGGAGGGGGTGAAGGGAGGGCAGAGGTAAGGGGAAAAAATGAGAATCAAGACTTGCCATGTAAAGGTACAAGATCCCAACAATGAATGTAACTGTACTGTATCCCTAAATGTACCAATAAACTCAATAAAATTTAAAAAAAAAAAAAAAAGATTATGTTGGCCTTCAGAAAATGCATGTGCAAAGACTGACTACTAAGAAGATGAAATGAAATGACAATTCAGATCTTTCACCAAAACCATGCAAAACACATGGTAAAACAAACAACTTTGGTGAAGACCAGTTTTGCTTCTTAATTTTCAATTAGTCATGAATAAATATTTTTATTAAAAAACATAATTTTTTTGAGACAAGATCTAACTATGTAGTTCAGGCACCTTGAACTCATTATGTAGTCGAGGCTGGCCTCAAATGCATGGCAATCCTCCTGCCTCAGCCTCCTAAATGCTGGGATTACTACCACCCCTGGCAGGAATGAATTTTTAAGCATAAACAAAATCCAAGCTCAAAACTTGTATCATAAAATTCAACACACATGTAATTATTTTGTCAAACTCTTGAAAGTTTTTAAATGTTCACTCTTCCTTTTCATACTTATTCACTGCAGGCAGCTAACAGTTCACTGAAAGTGCACTGGTAATGCAAATCACACTTTCAGGAGCACTGTATTAGAGGTCTAACCCCAAGCCAGGTGTGGTGGTACACACCTGTAATCCCAGCACTCGGGAGGCTGAGGCAGGAGGATCGCTGTGAGTTCGAGACCAACCTGGGCTACATAGTGAGTTCCAAGTCAGTCTCAATTACATAGTGAGACCCTGTCTCAAAAAACCCAGAAAAAAAAAAGGTCTAACCCCAAGATTAACAATGTCTGTCTTGCTAAGCTTCATCCACACCTGATATCTAATAAAAAAGAAAGAGATTCACATGGTACAGTGCACACACCTATATATTCCTGCTAGACAGGAAAGTGATGCAGAAGGATGGCAAG